GTGTTCTGAGAACATGTCGTGGAAGCCACGAAAAGTTCTTAGAACATTCCTTGGTAGGGCTATACAGGCGAACCAGGGCGCTTCGCCACTGCCCTCCGGCGAGGCGGGGCGCCCGCGGCGCGCGCGCCGCGCCCGAGGGCGGCCGCCCCGACGGTGGCGGAGGCCCGCCTGGCCTCGCAGGAGCCCCCTCTCGGAAGCCTCCGCCCGAGAAGGCCCCCGTCTGCTGAGAGGACCGCTCTGAGGAGGCCCCCTGAAGCCGCCGTGCGAGAGGGCCCCCCCCGAAGCCTCCGCCCGAGAGGGCCCCCTCTTCTCTGGAGCCCGCCTGGCCTCGAAAGGCCTCTGAGAGGGCCCCCATCTTCCGAGAGGACCCCTTGCGCGCCCTCATCAGCGAGCCGCCCCCCCTCGCGCCCAGAACCCCTTCCGGGCGCCGCCCCGAGGGAGAGGCCCGGCCCAGCCCCGAGTCCGAGACGGCCCAACGCACAGAAACGAGGGCGAATGGCCAGGAACAACAGTGCAGAAGATCCCCAGGGGAGGTCCCATGAGGGAGTCCTTTTCCTCCTTCTCCTCCTCCTCCTCCTCATCCTCCTCCGCCTCCTCCTCGTCTCCCCCTCCTCCTCCTCCTCCTCCTCCTCCTCCTCCTCCTCCTCCTCGTCATCCTCCTCCTCCTCTTGCGAGCGCCGAGACCCGGCCTGTGCGGGCGCCCGCGCGAGCGCGCCCCCACTGAGCTTCGGCTACGTCGCGTCGAACCTGTAGCCTTCTCCTCGTCCTCCTCCTCCTCCTCCTCCTCCTCCTCCTCCTCCCCCTCCTCCACCTCCTCCTCCTCCTCCTCCTCCTGCTCCTCCTCCTCCTCCTCCTCCTCCTCCTTCGCCTCCTCCTGGTCGTCGTCGATGCCTGTCAGGGCCGGCGGCACCGGCCGGTCAGGCCTTCACAGTCGCCAGGAGCAGCAGTGCGCCAGCCGAGGACAGCAGGCCCTCGGCTCGGCGCGGGGGCCCGCGGGGAGGGCCGGGGCCGTGGCCGCCACGGGCCGCGGGTCCTTCTCGCGGGGCTTCTCCGCGTCCCGGACGCGGGTCGAGGATCGGGCCTTCTCCCCGGGCCGCGCGTCCTTGGGCTCGCGCCCGTCCTTCTCCTTGGCGGGCTTGGCCTGGCACCGAGGAGGGGGGCCAGAAAGCAAGGGCTCCTAACTTCGCGCTTCGCGCTGCGTGAAGCGCGAAGTGCGAATGACGTCGCGGCCTCGCGCCGCCTCCCAGGGGAGAGGAGGAGGAAGAGGAGGAATCGGAGCCGAACCGCGAAGCGCGAATAACTTCGCGCCCTCGAGGGCGCCCTGGGAAAAGGGGGCAAGAGAGGAGCGGGCCAGGGTCGAGGATCGAGGATTCTGACCCGTCGGCCTCTCGGCTGGTCCTCCAGAAGCCGCCGGGACCGATGCAGACCGAAGACCACCCAGAGGGAGGCCCAGAGAGCGAGCACCTGAAACTGTTCGATGCTCTTTCCATCATTTTCTGCTTAATAGCCTCCTCAGAAAGTGCCAGTAAAATATCAAGAGAGTCCACCATGTCTCCAAGACAAGCCACAACATACGAGCCCAGAGCGGCCCCAACGCGCCCCAACACACAGGACCGATCCAAGACGGCCAAGACTTGCCCAGACGGCCGCAATGTGGATCGCTTGCGTACTCATTCGGGTGAGCTCGCCCGAACTATCGCGCTCAAGATGTCTCGAGAACACCACGGAGAACACCAAGAGGTGTACACATTCGGGAAGCGCGTGATTTGGTTGCCCGCGGGGTGTGTGGCGCAATAGATGCCAGACTCTCTGGGGCAACGAGCGATTTGGCTGCCAGCGAAGTGCCTGGCGCGCCCACAAGCGCAACACCTGGAATCCAGCAATTCCCTGGCATCCCCACCGCGACTCATGGCGCATTCCACGGCACAACCCATGAGCGCAGTGCATGTCGCAGTCCATGGGGGCAGCCTATGGCCCCAAGATGTTCTGCAAGACCTCCGGAAACAAAGACTTCCAACTCGAGGCCCCCAGGCCTCTTGACCGCTTCTCACCCCAGACTGTCCGGGGGCCCGAGACGAGTCCCAAGAAGCAAGCATCAACGACCCAAACTCCAGTCTGAGCAGAGATCATCGGCGCTGAAGGTCAAGGCTTTCGCTGAAGCCCTTCACAAAGTCGCTTGCCACGCCCAAGATGGGTGCAGACAGAACCAACGCGACCGTTGCCCCAAAACCGGTAGCGGCGCCTGTGGTGAAGGCAGAATTCTGCCACAAGCGGACAAAACACGTCCGCGGCGACACCAAAGCCAGTCCCAGGGACTGCTGCCGGACTTCGTCCAGAGTCTTGCCGTACCCATGTATATTACTGAAGGTGAAAGCCAGTCGGGGGGAAAGGCTCAGGAGGGGAGGAGGGGAACCGTCGACATGGCTTCGGCGATGCATCGCCGACACATCGGCGGTATACCCCCGCTCGCGAAACCGCATGGTCCTGGGCGGGGTGGGCAATCGGGCCCCTGTCAGCAATCGATGCGCATCAGCAGTCAATGCACCCCCCCATGCGCCGATCCCCCCCCCCGCCAGCGTGGCCCCAGACATGCGACGTCCTGATTTTTTCAGGACGGCGTCCCTGGAAGTCCTGAACCTTTCCCCGGGACCGGTTTTTCGTCCTGAGTCGTTTTTTGACGGTCCCGAGGCCCGGCGAAAGCCCACCGGGGCCGAAAATAGCCGAAAACTTCCCGTCCTGATTTTTTAACGACGCGATCATGTCTGGGGCCCCTGACGATTGCCCCGAGCCGCAGCTGGGCGCCTTGTCCGACTTCCCGTCCCTGCCGTCGCGGGACTCCCTCGGCTGCTTCTCTCCGGGATCGTCCTCCCTGCGCGGGCGCTTCTCGGCGACGATGTCCTGCCCGTGGGCGCAGGGTTCGGTAGCAGATGCATAGCACGCGGGTGCGGGACTCTGGGGCGCGGTCCGAGTTGTCATTGTGCGCTCGAGGAACAGCGCGGCAATATCTTGTCGTGACGATCCTGGCGTTGGCATCTGACACCGCGTGGATCGTTTGAATTTGAACGATTGGTGGCGCTTCCATCGCCGGACGGTTCCATACTGACCGACTCCGGGCCTCTGGAGGAGTTCAACCTTGAACGCCCGCGTTGGGGTCTCTTCCGCGTCGACACGACACGAACTTACCGTATCGATGGACGCAGCTTACCTGACAAAGTAGACGCTCGGAGAATGAGCGAGATGAAGAGCTCAGACATCCAGACTCTTTGGCACATCAAAGAAAAATGCCACCTTCGAGGCGGCCACTTGCCCAAGCAGCGGCGGCGTTTCAGGGGATCTGGCTTGCTCCATGGGCCGGATGCTGAAGGCATTATGGTTGCATTACCTGCGAACGTATATTACGTTGCACGCCTGCTCACGCACCGTCTGGTGCAACGCGTACTTGACTTGACTTGACTTGACTTGACTTGACTTGAGCAGGGACCGACCGTCCCAGCATTCCTATAGGCCTACCACGAAATGCTTTTAGAATCCAAAAATGTTCTAAGAACAAAAACAACGTTCTTAGAACATGAACCCGATGTGGTAAAAAAAAGACAAACTCCGCCAGACATGTTCTAAGACCATTTCCTGGAAGCCACAAACGGTTTCTAGAACATTGTGTGGTGGGGCTATAGGCGAGCCAAGACGCTTCGCCACTGCTTGATAGATTGGGATCTGGGAATCCAAAAATGCCTCCTCTCAACGACCGGCATAAGCATACGCGTGGAGAGGGCCGCGCGGGCTCCTCGGGTCGGCGCTGGACCCCTCCCTCGCCCCGCGCGATTCGGCGCCCGCGAGCGCAGGCCCATAGACATCCGCGTGGGCCTCTGAGTCTGGTACGGAGGGAGAGGAGGAGGAGGAGGAGGAGGAGGAGGAGGTGGAGGAGAGGAAGGAGGAGGAGGAGGAGGAGCAGGAGGAGGAGGAGGAGCAGGAGCAGGAGGAGGAGGAAGAGGAGGGGAGGAAGAGGAAGAGGAGGGACGGGAGGAGGCGGAGGAGGACGAGGGGTAGAAGAAGGAGAGGGACGAGGATGAGGAGGAGGGCCGTTCCTTCTTCGACCGCTGCATGCTGCACTCCTCGCCATGGCGATGGGCAGACGCGCGGCTGGATCCACGTGTGGGAGCAGCGCGAGGCCGCGCGCGGGACACACACACACACACACACATTGTGGAGGGCCAGCGGACCCCGGACGCACGCTTGCCGAGCGCTGGAAAGATACGCGGCCAGATGGCCGAGTCCAAGAGCCCTGGATTTTTGGTTTTTGCGCATTTGCCGTGCAGACTCCGGCCGCTGTTCATCGTCGCGTGGCTGCCGGCGATTTGCCTCTCGGGCGTTCAGTGTGTATGTCTGCCCCGGGGGCTGCCCTTCCAAGCGAGGCAGGACCTCGGGGTCCACCTCACGGGCACGGTGAGCTTGCGTTGTGGTGTTCCAAACAAAGAACCAGAGCCTTGGATGTATTTTGCTCCCTTCGTACTTAAGAACTACGTCCCAGAAATAATTGCGAACGCCCAGACACATGTCGAAACAGTGTCGGTCGAGTATCGCCCCTCAGGGCCTGGCACGCGAAAACCCTCCCCTTTCGGTACTTTCCTGGTGCTCGAAATTCTTCCTGGTGGTCAAGGCTGAAGTCGGTTGGAACATCATAACCCTGGATTGACCGACCGACCGTCCGTCCCGGCATTCCCATAGTCCTACCACGAAATGTTCTTAGAACCCAAGAATGTTCTAAGAACAAAAACAATGATCTTATAACATAAGCACGATGTGTTAAAAGAAAAAAATCTCAACCAGAAATGTTCTAAGAACATTTCTTGGGGACCACAATAGGTTATTTGAACATTGTTTGGTAGGCTATAAGCGAGCCAAGACGCTTCGCCACTGCGTGACTGGATCCAAACATGCTGGCGTCCCACTTATCATTCTGCCGCCCTCCGCCGGCCTTCCGCAAACGGACCCCTCGCCGTTCTGCTTCCGCCGGCCTTCTGTAAGTAGGGAACCAAATTCTATACACCGACGCGCTTCCCGGCCCTGCACTGAAACTTGCACAGGACAGCTGATCCTGGTGTGTACGGGGCCCTGGTGTAAAATTGAGTCGTTGCTTCCGCGGGAAAACAAGGGAAAAAGTGTACACCACATCGCCTCGACCCTCAAAAGCTTTGGAATCGAAAAGCAAACCGCCACTGGAAATGTATATGCTCCAGTTTCCGAGAAAGGGGCGAGACGCGCCGATGGCGAAGCCCTCCCTGGAACGCCACGCGTGTACGTCCAGGTCCTGGCCGGCAGGCAGCCACGCCGAGTGCACCTATAACTCACTATTGGAATCCCGAGAGGAGGACCCAGACGTCCGGCGTCGTGCTTTTGTCGCGAGCGTGGCTCCGAGGTCTGCGCCGCGTCCACAGGGGCTGGCTTTTCATCCCGGGCGGTCTTGTTGACGGCGGCCCCAGGGTCTGGACAGGGCCCCCAGAGGTCGAAGATTAGCAAAAGCCTTCCGCCGTGGATTGTCTACACTAGTGGCATGAAGAAGACAGAGTCCCTGGCTACCCTCAAGAGAAATCTATGGGGACGTTAGAGAAGGACCGCTCAGGGGAGAACATCAAGCTGGGATTGGCGATACATCGCCATCAGATCGGCTAGATAGCAAATACGTACATTCCTGGGCGGCGCGGACTGTCAGGCCCCAATTGATCATCAACGGGCGATTGGGGGTCGGTGCATCCCCTCTGAGCCTATCTTGATACAACATTGCCCCTGCGAACCTCGAGACAAAGAGGGGCACTCCTCGCGCTTGCCGTCCCGGTCGCGGTCCCTGTCGGTCAGCGAATTCTTGGCGCGCTTCGCGTCCTGCCGCCGTCACTTCTGCCGCCTTCTGGCGAGGAAGAGATTCCAACCTCTCGATCCCTCGGAGGCAAGGTCCTTCCTGGAGTGCCCCAGAAAAGGCCCCAGGACCTCGCCCTCGAGGGATCGCCCTCGATAGTTGCATGGGGCGCTCCGGGGCGCTCCGAGCGCGCCATGTGCATCGAGGAAAGCGCCGGCGGGGGGGCCGAAACCAGCCGCGTGCGGCAGGCGTTGTACAGTGCGAGCGCGGCCGCAAGAAACCCTCGCAAGAAACCCAACCCTGAAGACCCGCGCGAGAGGTGCGACTGGGGGGAAGCCCAGGGCACCCTGAACGGATCAGCTTCTTCAACGGCCGCAGCTGCAGCCGCAGCCGCAGCTGCAGCCGCGGGAGGTCACCGCGCAGCTCGCGAAGCGAAGACAACCAGGGTACCCTGACGAAAAGCATCCAGTTTCTTGATGCGCGCCCCCACTGTCGGGGGCGCGCAACCATGGATTAGCGATCCATGGATTTGGCGCGCGGTCGCCAAATCCACGGATCGGGAAGGTGCCCTCCCCATGATGCGGCCGGTGCCGCCACGCTCGGCGGCAAAAATCCGCCACTGTGGCGCCCGTTGCTCCCCAAGGCCTTCTGGATCTGATGGAACCGCCCGGGACCTTTCGCACGCGCGCGCGCCCGAAACCGCGCATCGCGCCCCCCCTCCCCCCCCCCCCCCCGCAGCGCAGTGCCAGGTTCAGGCGCCAGCCATGGGGAGAGGGGGGGCGGGCGCGATGTCTGTTTTCATCGGCCGCCCTGCGCGCGCTGCGTGCAAGCCGCCCACGAGCCCCAGATTCTGTCCTACATGCCGCCGAAGTGCTTCCGATTATTTCCCGCGTGCCGCTGCGTTCCGAATGAAGAGACACTCGGCTCCGAGCTCGTAGGAGGTTGGCACGCGGCGGCGCGTGGGAAATCATTGGCGGTACGTCGGAGGCACGCCGGCGGCGCGCAGGCGGCACGTCGGACCCCGAGCGCCGACGGCGACGGGGGCAACGGCGACGCGACGACCTTCGCATGTCTAACTCGGAATGCATCAGTTCCCCCGACACATCCAATGTGGACCATCGCCCTGATGCGTGGGGGGAGTCAAGCCTTGACTGATTGGAATCCGCGATGATTTCCCGAGCTCTGGAACCGTGCGCCGCGACAGCAATGCAACTTCGCGGCGCGCTGAGGGAAGGCGCCTGGCCGGCTATGAAAAACTCGCAGAAGGACGAGACAGAACAGGGGAAGGGAACGCAACTCGCACATGCGGGATCGGTCCAAGACTCGAGACTTCGCCGGGCTGCCCGCACATGGCCCCCGCGAGCGAGCGAAGAGAGCTCGCGCGCGCGTGCGGCTACCGCATCTTGCCTGCGGCATCCGCACCAGTGTCTTTCACGGGCAAGAGCAAAACGAGGGGAAGGCGGAGGAAAAGGAGGGGGAGGGGGAGGGGGAGCAGGAGGGGGAGGAGGAGGATGAAACGGAGGATGAGGAGGAGGAGGCCGAGGAGGAGGGGGGAGGGAAGAGGAAAACCCACAAGGGCCAAAGGCACGAGGCCGCACTGAAGGACACTAGTTTGCACTAGTTCAACGGAAGCAGCAAACAAAGACAAGCCAAATGTTTCAACAAGGCTACAAAGAGTTCGCACAAAAGTTGCCGAACCCTCTTGGCAAGCCTCCTTGACTCCTGAAGAAAGATGTGCCGGGGCCGTGTTGACGGTTCCAATTGACAATTGCTTTCGTCTTAGCTGTGTCGTCTTGACAAATGACATGTCCAAGCCGAGTTGACGACCGTTGTGGGCGCTTCGCCAGGCATGCGCCGTGTCAACCACTGGGCTGGACTCAAGACGACGACGGACGAGCACGGCGGACGACGCCGAAGACGACGCCGCGGCCGCCGACGACGACGACCACGACGGCGACGTCGACCAACGACCGACGCCGCCCGGCCCAGAGATCCTTCTCCCGGGCGGCGTCCTTCTCGCCGGGAGGTGGCCTGTCGACCCAGTGCTGGCTGCGCACCTGGGCCCGGGCCCCGAGTGGGGCCCACGCTCGCGGCTGAGGGCCGACCGATCTACCTACATCGTCCTCCTCCTCCTCCACGTCGAAATCCTCCCTAGATTATTGCTCACACCGTCTACTTCTCCTCTACTCCACCAACGTACCTCCTCGTCCATCCTCGTCATCTCTCCTCCTCATCCTCCTTCTCCTCCTCCTCTCTCATCTCACGTCGACCTCGATCGTTGCTGATGATGTTTGCCCCCAACCAAACTACCTCGCCCGCCTCCGGGTGGTTCTGTCCCATGGCGTGCATCATGCGCGAACGGGCAAAATGTCGCTCCCGCATCGGCAGTGCGCGTACTATTTCCGAGTAGGCCCCCGATTGGGCGCGACGCGTCTATTTTGCTCGCCCACTCGTCGACATCAGGGTGGCGCGCGAGCGAGCGGGCAACATGCCGCTCGCGCCTCGGCGACGCACATCCTTTCTACTAGCCATGTCGTTGGGGGATTTTCGGTTCACGAGGCAGTGCTACTCTGGCGCGGCGCAAGCTTCGTCTCTACCGCGCTCATCGGGAACGTGGGCGCCCAAGAGAAGGCTGAATTGCTCTCTCGCCGCAGCGCCGTGCACGGATTTGATTTCTCAAGTTCTGGTCCCGCCCTTGGCCGCGCATGTCCCCGTCGCAAAGCCTTCCGAAGCGGGACCGCGCGCGAGCGCCTTCCGTTCACTGGGTGGAACCGCGCTCCAGTGCAAATACCAAATCGGTCTACGACTGATTCGTTTGTCGGGTGTCATTCCTGGTCCCTGGTCGTCCTCCCTCCTCCTCCTCCTCATCATCATCATCATTCTCCTCCTCCTCCTCCTCCTCCTCCTCCTCCTCCTCCTCCTCCTCCTCTCCTCCTGGCTCCTCTTTGCTCCTCCTCCTCCTCCTCATCATCCTGCTCCACCTCCTCCCTCTCACTCCACCTCCTCCACTTCCTCATTCACCAGCGCCTTCCTCCTCCGCCTCTCCTCGTCCTTCGTCACTTTCCCCCCTCCTTTCTCCACCTGCATCCTCCTCCTTCTCCTCCTCCTCATCATCATCTTCCTCCTCCACGTTTGGGGGTTGCCTTTTGGGGCCTCCAACCGCCTCCAGGGGCTTCTGGGGAGGACGGGGGAGAAGAGAATGGATGAAGGGGGACGGAGGGGGCGGGGGGGGGGGCCAAAAGGGAGAAGGAGTAGGCGGAGGAGACGGAGACCAAAAGGGGGAGGGGCGCTCACCGCGATCCGCCCCCCGCCGCCAGACATCTGAGCTGGCCGCCTGGAGCTTGACCGCGAGGGACCGCGCGAGCGTCTGTGGAGCGTTTCTTTTCCTGTTCCGCCGGGGCCTCGGGCCTCAGAGCCGCCGGGCGGCCGCCATACCGCAGTGGGTTCGTCTGTTCGCTCGTTCCCTGTCTTGCTAAAAGCATGGCGGCCACAACCAAGAATGCCCTCCCGACCCCAGCAGCAGGGAGGAGGTGGAGGAGGATCGAGGCCTTTGGACGTCGGGGGGTCTCCAAGGGCCTCAGGTGACCGCCGGAGGACGGGAGGAACCTTCGAAAGAGGACCCTGTACGGAGGGAGAAGGCGGGACCAGAGTAAACCCAAGATGCATCCACTGACGGGGCCCTGGGACACACAAATAAACAGACACAAACAACGGGATTCCCAATATCTTCCCACATCTGCTGGGCTTTTGTCTCCCCCAACTTCCCATATCTTCCCTTACCTGGGGCATCGAGGATTAAATGTGTCTGTGTGTTGTTTCCCTCCTGATCAACAGGTGCTGCAGCGCACCCTCCCGTGCCAAGTCCCCTCTTGGAGGCCTGGAAATGGGTACCAACACCAACACAGGGGGGTGCCTCCCCAGGGGGAAGATGATCCTGGATTCCGGCGCTGGTGGCAATATGTCGTCCACCTTGGAAGCCCAAATCTTACCACCACCGCCGAAACCAGGATCCCCTTCCCTCAGTGGAGGCACGCCGCCGATATTGGTGTTGGTGTCAACCTCGAGGCTTGCGACCCTCCTCGAACCTCCCCTATATTAAAAACAATTCCTCTGCGACCCCCCTCTGGGAAGACTGGGCCCCGTGGGCCTGCCGGTCACTCTGGGGGCCCGTGCTCGACGGGATGCCCTCCGCCCTTCTACCAGGCTGAAGTCGGGCGTGTCCCCCATACAGAGGGGGTTTTGGGCGAATATAAAAAAACATGCCCCCAAGATGCTCAAAACATGTCAAACATCGCCCCCAAACAATTTGTTTTACTAGTTTTGTATACTCCCCCCTGTAGAGGGACACGCCCGACTTAAACCTAGACGAGGAAATGCCGCACAGCAAGCTCAAGGTCGTGTCCAGCGGGAGCCCGTTTGGATGATCCCAACAAACACCATAGCTCGGTGGTGGACAAGGCTCCCTTTAGTAAACCTCCCCTTAATGAAAACGGCCTGGGACCGAAACCGACGGACCTGGACCCGCCAGAATGACAGCCGCACCGCAATCTCGCGAACCGACGGCGGCCAATTCCTTAATCGACGTGTCAGGGTAGGAGGTCTATCAACCCCGAAAAGTAGCAGCATAGGTGCTGATCAGAATCATGGTCATGATCAGATGGCAATGGTGATTACAAAAGGTGATTCTGCCACGCAACAAACGGTGGCTCACGCGCGGGACTACGGCCATGAATTGGAAATTCAAAGCGAAAATCTCAAGCGAAACTGCTTCTGTGGCCAAATACTGTGAGAAAGTCTCGGGCGAAACGGCTTCTGAGGTCATAACTTGCCGGCGGAGGTCTCAAACAAAAACGGTTTCTGTGGTCCTGCCAGGGAGGCCCAGGCGACCGCGCGTCGAAAGGACCCCCCCCCAAAGAGAAAAGCCGGGAGTGACACGGCGCTCGCTCGGCCGCGCCCCCGCCGCGGGACAGCTCCTCCGAAGCGAGAAAGGACCCCGAAGACAGCAGCCTCGCGGAAAAGGGCAGCGGCTCAGCGGCGAAGCGTCGAGGCAGCTGGAGGAATGGGAAAGGAGCGGGGATGGAGGGGGGACGGTTGGAGGGGAGGGGAAATGGGGGTTGGCAAAGGAGCAGTGCCGCGCGGTTCGGGACAGTGCCCAACTCAATAATTCGCGCTCGCAGGGCGCAGCTTGCCCCGCGGCGCTGAATGCCGCGCAGCGAGCGAACTGAGCAGAAGGGCGGGGGCGAAGCGCTTCGCCGCCTGCTGTGGCGCGGCAAAACGAAACAAATGCAGCGCTACGCTGCGCCGTGCAAGCGGGCGATCGCGGTGAGTGAAAGCCGCCCGCGTCGAACGAAGGGGGAGGCAACGCACCCCCCTGGGCGCGACAATCGAGGGTGTTGCCACTGCAGTGGGATAGCCACAGACACGCGCACGCCCGTGGAAAAAAAACGGGCCCGCGCGTCGAAACAAAGATATCGCCGCGAAGCGCAGCGCGATTCCACAGCAGAAAACACGCGCACACGTCAACGCGAAACCGCCGCCACGCAGCGCAGAGCGACAGCGAGGCAGAACAAGGGCGCGTCGTAACAAAAATACCGCCGCACTGCGCAGCACGACAGCGAAACAGGACATATATTTCGAAACGACGATGCCGCCACAATGCAGAATGACTGTGAAGCCGAAGCACAAGTGTCAAACATATGCGAAATTCCAATGCAAAATACGCTGAATACGCAGCCCGCTACGACGCGAGGGCTCCGGGCGCGAGCACTAGTAAGCCGAAGGTGCCCTGACCAATATAAGTCGCGTTCCCCAGAAGTTCGCTGCGGACGCGTTCCTGAGGCCTGCGGCCCCCCCACCCGGCAAACATCCCAGCCAAATCCCGGCCGCCGCCGGGCAATCTCCCAGCCAACTCCCCGCCGCGGCCCCGCCGCCGCCCCCCCCAAAAAAGCTGCCACCCCTCAGCAAAAAAAACTGCCGCCAGCAAAATCCCAGCCGAATCCCCACCGCGGCCCAGCCGCCGCCCAGCCGCCGCCAAGCCACATTCCAGCCACGGGCCCTCCCCCCGGGGACCCCAACATGGCCTCATGGGACCTCGCAAAAGAAGGAGGAGTGCGACGGTAAACAGGAGGAACGCGACGGAGGAGCATGGCTGCAGGAGGGGGAAGGGAGACCGCCCGGAGCGAAGGGCGGGAGGAACGGCAAGGAGGGCGCGAGAAGATACCGGGAGAACGACGAGGGAAATAAGGAGGAAGAGAGAAGCGGAAGGAGGACGGATGAGGGAGGCTAGAAGGGGAAGACAACGTAAGACAGGAAGAGGAAAGGAGGGACCACCGATGAGGATTGAGAGCGTTTTTTTTTCATGTTTTTATATATTAGAAAATGACAAGGGCACGGGGGAGAAGATAAGGGGTTGGGCCTGCGCAGACCTGGGGTGACATACCAGTGACGTGAAGAAAAGAGGGAACTGTTGGCGACAACGAGTACGACAATGATGATGTAAGCAAGCCGTAACATACTTGAATGAACGTTTTTGTTGGTTCGATGTGGACCTCCGCAACAGGTGGATACAACCTTATTGGACCGCCGCATGTTCATCACGGAGAATGGCACCGTCGGCACCGGGGCCGGCGCGCGCGAAACGCACCGGAGAAAACTCGAACAACTCGAATGACGAAGCGCGCACGAACGGCCCCGAAGCGGACGCAATCGTAACGATCCGGCGCCGTTCGCCACGCCGCCATCGCTGGCTGCGCCAGCCTGACACAAGCACGCGCGGGAGACTGCCGCGCCATAGCCACGCTAACCGCGCACTCCAAAAGGCCAGCCGCAAGGAAAAAAAAACACGCGCAAAGATGTGCGAGAGCACGGGTGGGGTCAATTGGATTTCGGCTTCATTTCAGATCGAATTACACTTGGGGGGGGGGGGGGGGGGGCATTTTTCGCCTGGGCCTCCTCCTGCTTTCCGAAATTACACCAAAGAAAAACTCCAATCAGTGGATGGTTTTCGCTTATGATATTGACCGGCAACCCGGGAGCCCGGGAACCCAGAACCCGGCCACCGAAATCGGCCCACAACCAATAACCGGGAAACCGGGAACCCGGGAACCCGGACTAGCAAAACCGGCGGGAAACTCTGGCCAAATCTCTCAACTTCTGCTGTGGCCCCTTCAGTGCAAGCACCGATTGGGGAAACAAGCCTCACACAAAACTCCCTCTGTGGTCCTAACCCCCTGTCAAAAGATGCCTCGGGCGACCATGGCGATGCTGGGAGTCCGGCGGGCTACCCGACATCTTGAAGGCCACCCGACCTCAGTCCGTGCAGCTGCTGCGCAGCAGGCCCTGCCGACGCACGCGCCCGCAGCTGCCAAGAGGCGCGGGCCGCGCCACGAGAGCCGGCCGCCATCCGCGCGCGCAGCCGACAGGAACAAACACACAACTTCTGGATCAAAGAGGGGGGGGGCGAGCTCGGGCGGATCGGGTGTCCTTTCGGGGGCGCGCAAACCAGGGCTGAACCTAACCGATGTTTTTCGTTTTCGATTTGCTTTCATTTTCCCTCGTTTTGTTTTCAATCCGGCTTTAACGCAAAACGACATCGAAACGAAAACGGCCCACGAAATCGCCAAAACACCGTTTAGGTCAACCCCTGTCGCAAACATGTATCAGCGATCCATGGACTTGGCGCGCGGTCGCCAAATCCACGGATCGGGGGAGGTGCCCTCCCCGACATGCGGTTGGTGCCGCCTCGCTCAGCGGCGGAAATCCGCGCTGTCCCACGGAAGCGGGACCCGTCGCGAATCCACGCCCCCTTGATCCATGTTTGCGATCGCCTGACACGTGCAGCCGACAGGAGAAAAAACACTACTTCTGGATCAAAGAGAGTTGAGGGATGAAAAAACGACCCAACCTTGGGTTACAAGCGCGCGGCCTATAAACCTCCTGGGAACCCCCAAAGCCTAGAGCCGCCAGGACGCGGCACCTCACGCAGGGTTCACCCTGTCAGCCCACAGGAGTTTCAGCGCACAACGCCTCGCAAACCAAGGTAAGGGCGTTTTTCCTGCCCTTCAGAGAGGGGGAACCTCGGGCGGATCCGGTGTCCTTTAACGGGGGGGGGCAATCAACCGGGACTGGGAGAAAGGGCGCCCGTCGTGCACCTTCTGGCCCGCGGTGGCAGTTCGGGGGCCATGAGGTAGGGCCCCCGTGCGGCCACTCTCTTGCCATTCTCGGTTCCCCCACGGCGTGTTGCCCCCCCGTTTCGGGGGGAACGAAAGGGGGGGATAGCACAGGGTAGGGTAGAGAATCAGCTCACGTAGCTGATTTCCCCAGCGCCTCCTGGCGCCGGGAGGCGCCCATGTATCGAGGAATAGGCCCGACGGCGGGGCCGAAACCAGCTGCATGCAGCAAATTTCGTACCCCCCCCCTGTCCCTATCCCCCCCTTTCGTTCGGCCCGACAGTTGCCGTCCGCCCGACTCGAGCGGAACGCCCAGGCTTGCGTCCACCACACTTCAGCTCCACACCCAAGGAGAGTGTGAGACCGTTCGGCCCCCTGGCTCTGCCAGAGCAATCGCCGAACCGAAGTGCCTTCCCCCCACAACCAAGTGCACGAGCGAGGGGTCGGAAACCGAATCAGCTACCTGGAGAGTTGATGCAGGAACCAAACGAGGTCTATTAAGGAGACCAAATGGTACCGATACCGCTCCTCCCCAGACCTCCCCCGGGGTGCAGTCTGACCAGAATTTCGAGGCCGAAAAAGTAGAAAACGGGCGAGGGGTAGAGGTATGGGTACCTCTTCCTCCTCTGATCGATGGTAGATGGATCACCCGCGGCTGTTACAAGGGAGTCGCAGGACGAAGCGCAGTCCTTAATGTCCTGGTGCTCGTTGTCCTCCTTGTCTCTCAGAGCTTCAACATGGGCCAAGATCTGTTGCCCGTACTTGTAGACAGTCGGAAAAGATGTCGTGGACCTCGGTCATGTCGTGTCCACCGTGCGAGGCAGAGTCGAGCGTCCTCTCTGGCAGCGTGGCGAAACTGGACTTCCGTCGTCCGGACGGGGAGCACGTCTTCATCATATCATCACGGCCCGCGGAAGAATAGTGGTTCGGCGAGAAAAGCGTGACGGCATGTGGAATCTGAGGCACGTCAGGCGCTCGCATGCAGAGGCGATGGGAATGAAACCGATCATGTTTTCGGCATGGCCAATATCCTCATCTGAGATATCAAAAAAGTATCAACCAGATCGAGCCGATCATCGACGCAAGATCTGGAAGACCGATCGGCTCGTAATGCTCGACACGACCGAAGATGACACCATCGAGAACCTGCGCATCTAACGCCCGAGTACGCCCACCTGACTCAGCTGGAATTGACGAGTCGATAGCCACGCGTAGGTTCGACCACTCATCGGGGGGGACTCGAAGCAGTCACCGAAGATCCGCGAACAGGCACAGGTCGAGGGGCCTCCTCCTCGACCTCCCGCCTCCTCCCCTGCTGCTGCCGCTCCGCATGCTCCTCGTCCTCCTTCTCACCCCTCGTCCCCCTCCTCGGGTGGCCCGCCGTGGCTCCCGGGTGGCCCGCCGTGGCTCCCGTGGTGGCCCGCCGGGGCCCCCTGGTGGCCGCCGGGCGACCCGCGAGGCTCTGCTGCTCCTCTCCCTCCTCCTCATCCTCCTCCTCCTTCTCCTCCTCGTCCTCCTCCTCCTCCCCTCGTCCTCCTCCTCCTCCTCCTCCTCCTCCTCCTCCTCCTCCTCCTCCTCCCCCCTCCCCCTCCTCTTCCTCCCCTTGGCCATCCTTGGACCCAGTTCCAGTAAGACCCCCCTCGAAAAGACCCCCCCAAAAGGGGGGAGAGAGGAGAGGATGGCAGGGGAGACGGCAGGCAGGGGAGAAGAACGAGGGGGATGAAGAAGATGAAGAGGACGGGGCCAAAGCATAAGAACGGGGACGATTGAGTAGAGAGGAGAGGCGAGGAGGAGTGAGACTGGGTGGAAGGAGGGAGATGGAGGTCGGAGAGGGAGAACAAGGAAGAGAGTGAGCAAGAGAGATGACGAGGGGTAAACGCAGTATCAGCAAGTATACATTATGATGTGGAATAGGAGGGGGTGGATGAAGGCTGGAGGACGGAACAGAAGGAAGAGGACGGGGATGATGAGAGAGAACGAGGAGGAGGAGGATTGCCAGAATACTCCCGAGATGCGCCAACGATGCTGCTATTCACACTTCCGTTCCAAGCCCCCTCACAAAAAACGACAAGCCTCCTTCGTCCAACAAGAGCCCCCTTGAAAGACCAACGCCATGAGGGCCTGCCATTCAGGCGAGCATATCGTCTTGAGCATGCACTGGTGCCCATCCTCCTGGCGAGTAGGAAGGACTGCGAATGAGGGGAGCCCGTACAGTTCAACGAGGTGTGGATCTATGTTCCCGGTTTGAGCCAGGACCGCCCCCACCAGCGCAGCTGGTGCACACAATTGCACACGTATGAACTTCGCGGACGTCCCCAGCGAGAATCCCCTGCCGAAGAGGAGTCGCCTTTCACCCGTGAAGCTGGTGCATCTGGCTCCGACGAACGTCTGGTCTTGGCTAAAGAATCCAAAGAGGGAAACCAAACCTGAAATGGAGCAATGCTCCAACCCTGTTGCTTCTGCTGCATGTGACAATGAATATGCACGGCGCCGAGGCGAGAATCCATCGTGGAACGAAACTAGTAGCTGGCGTGGTCCCCAAACAAGAAGTTACGCAGTGCGGATACGCAAGCAGCGTGCTGCGGTATACGCGGTGCAGGCTGTGCAGTGCAGGCTGCGTATATGGTGCAAGATTTGTTGTGCATTCCCGACGGACCCCCAAGCGCGGTATGTAGGCGCAACGAGGCGACAACAAGCAGCGCCGCGGCGAAACTTCCGCGGACCCCCTGGCCCGTCTGACGCCGTCGGAAGCCGTTTGGAAGGCCTCTCTGGGCCGAATTGGGGCCTTCTTGGGGTGCCCCAGGGCCGTCTTGGAGACCATCTTGGGCTTCTTGGAGGCCTCTTGGGTCGTCTCTGTGCCCTCTTGGGGCCGTCTCGGGGGCCTCTTGGGCAGTCCTGAGGCCATCTTGGAGGCCTTTTGGGCGCTCTGGGGGCGATCTTGGGGGCCTCTTGGGCCGTCTTGGGTCGTCGGAAAGCCCCCCCCCTCCCCCCCCCGAGTGCGCGGCAACGCGAGGCGGCAACGGGCGGCGACTTCGGCGCAGCCTCGGCTGCCCCCCCCCGCCCCTTCCGAGAGGGGCGACGACGAGGCCGCCTCGAGGCGGCCACCGGGCGTCGACGCCTCGGAGACCTCGACGGACCCAACCAGGTGGGCGGCGGAGGAGGAGGGGGAGGAGGAGGAGGAGGAAGAGGAGGAGGAGGAGAAGGAGGCGGAGGAGGAGGAGGCGGAGGAGGAGGATGAGGAGGAGGAGGAGGGGGAAGGGGAGGGGGGAGGGGAGGAAGGAGGGGGAGGGAGGAGGAGGAGGAGGAGGAGGAGAGGAGGAGGAGGAGGAGGAGGGGAGGAGGAGGTGAGGAAGAGGAGGAGGGGAGGAGGAGAGGAGAGGAGGAGAGGAGGAGGATGAGGAGGAGGAGGAGGAGGAGGAGGAGTGGAGGAGGGAGGAGGAGGAGGAGGAGGGAGGAGGAGGGCGGCGCCGCGGCGAAGCCTCGATGGACCGTCCAGCCATGCCAAGTGGGGCGGCAACGCAGCGACAGCGAGGCGGCAACGGGCGGCGACGCCGCGGGACCTCGACGGACCCCTCTAAGTGGGCGGCAACGAGGCGGCAACGCACTGTCACGCCACGAAACCTCGACGGAACCATCCAAGTGGGCGGCAACGAGGCGACAACGGGAGGGGACGCGACGAAACATCGACAGACCCAACGAAGTGGGCGGCAAAGAGGCGGCAACGAGGCGGCGACGCGGTGAAAATCCGGGGACCCACCCAACTTAGCTAGATGAGTAAGAGACTCAAAGTGCAAGCACTGTTTTGGAGGAAGACACCTCTCCAATTTTCAACTGCTGCATGAGGTTGAGACGAATGCGGGCGACGCCAAAACGATGACTCCATCTCGAAAACGAACGCATCCATCCGCGTGCAAGCTTTTAGAACGAATGTGCGCGGCGCTGGGAGGGAGGAGGGCCCTGGAAGAGACTGGGGAAATGGCTCGATGCTAGCTAAAACATGTCCCCGATGTAAGAACGATGAAACGAGAGAGGCTCAGCTGCCCCGATACGCAACACGCAACACGTAGCGTATCGATGCGGAGCGTACCACGCAGACTGAACACGTTTTGAACACGGACGTTTTGAACACGGACGTTTTGAACACGGACGTTTTGTACACGGACGTTTTGAACACGGACGTTTTGAACACGGCACGTGTTGTGATTCGAAACGTGCGTATCAGAGCAGCTCAGGAGAGAGTGGGCATAGGGGTGAGGAGGAGAAACGCCGATGGAGGCATGCTGCACAGCGCAGCCTGCCGACAAGAAGCAGGCGGAGCAGAGTCTCTGGCCGGAAGGGCCAGCGGAGAGGGCTGCCGGGAGAGCAGAGAGGGCACGCGGCGAGGCCGCCGAGGCCGGCGACTGGCTGAGCATCAGGAGCATGTTGCGCTTCTCCATCCAGTCGTCCGAGTCCAGGCCCTGCTTCATGGCCTGAAGTCGGCGGTGGACAGACCTCCCTTTAGTAAACCACCCTTTAGTGAAAACGGCCTAGGACCAAAACCGACGGACCTGGACCCGCGAAAATGACGGCCGCGCGACCCTCTCGCGGACCGAAAACCGCCAATTCGCCAATCGACGTGTCAGGGTAGGAGGTCTATCAACCTACGATGAACGGGAGGCGTCCGCCCCTGAGCTCGGAGAGCTCGGCGAGGTCAGCTGACACGTTCAGCTCTGCTGTGTTGCATACTTACATGCATGGCCTCCTCAGCTTTCGGTCGGGCGTGTCCCCCTAGAGGCGGACTTTGAACGACGAATAAAACAGACCCCCAAAATAACAAAAGAAACAAATAAGCAAAAATGATCAAAAAACAAAAGTCGCCCCCGGAGTATTTTTGGACTATTTTTGAATATCCCCACTGTGGAGGGGCAGGCCCGACATAACCTCAGCTGACTCTGGCGCTGCTCCGTGGCCTTGGCGCGATCCGACGACGGGCGGAGGGTCAAGACTTCCCGGCGCCCTCTGGCGAGAGCGTGCTCTCCTCCAGGCTGCCGAGGGCGCGATTCCTGCTCTACAAGAATCTCCTTACGAAGCATTCCTTCGGCAATGGATCGTTGATAACAGTTCCCTCTGGGAAGCATTCCTCAGAAGGGATCTCCTCCGTAAGGGTTTCCTGTGGTAAGGAGTCCCCAGATGGGGACTGGAGCAGGGAGGAGAAGAAAGGCGGGCATCCTCCTTCACCTCCTCCGAGAGGCCCACAGTGGATTCAGGCACAATCTAGGAGCATCCCCCTGGGATTCGCAGAGGCAAACTGTGGGAACATCTCCCCAGGTATAGGCGCCCTCTCGCATATGGCGGGATCCACAAGTCCCCCCCCGGAAGCCCACACCGCTCCCCCCCCCCACGTCCCAAACACCCACACCATCTTTATCGACCTCCTACCGTTACTAGCCTTAGGTCGGGCATGTCCCCCTACAGGCGGATGTTGGACGAACAACGAGAAAACATACACAAAAAACCCAAACATGTTCACACATTTTTTTTTTAACACAAAAAACGTCGTCTCCAGACTATTTTCTATACAAATGTTGAATATACCTCCCATAGAGGGACAAGCACGACGCAACACCAGCCTCTGGCCCCCCGTGCACCGACGGACTCCGCGGGTGCCTCCCGGGACCGTGGAGCGAGAGCATGCACGGGCGCTGCGGTCTGAGCTGCGATGCCTTGCCTCACCCCCTCGTCCTCGCTCTCCTTCCCTCCGGGGCGGCCAAGAGGGTTTGGACGCCCGAAATGGGTACGCGGCGACACCGACAGCGAGTCCTGTTCAGAATGAACAGGAACTGCTGTTGGGCTTTGTACCCATTCTTTCCGTACCCATTTCGGGCGTCCAAAGAGGGGGGCGTCCAAGAGGGGGGGGTGCAAATCATGGCCGGCGGCACGTGCGCGGCCCAGGGGGGGGAGGGCAGGGACGTGGCGAAACAAGAAGAGGCGCCATGAGAGCTGGGGAAACATCATGGCCCACGAAATGATATCCCCCCCCTAGTCTTAGGTCGGGCATGTCCCCCTTCATGGGAATCTGGAGCGAAAAATAAAACAGATTCAAAAGATGCCCAAACATATTTCAAACAATAGTCCCTAGAGTATTTTTTGACTATTTTTGAATATTTACCCCGTAGAGGGACAGGCCCGACTTAACCCTGGTCATCACCCCCCTCCTTGCCGCCCCCGATTCTCCGCCCCTGATCCTCCCTCCCTCCGCTGGCCGCCTCCCAGGGGCCCTCCTGCCCACCCCAGGCCACGCGGGCGGGCGCCTTGAAGATGCGGCCCTCCCACTTCGCGTGGCCCTTCAGCAGGTCGGCGTAGGCCGTCATGGTTATCTCGCCAGACGGCGGTGGACCCCGCGAGCTTCCACCGCACTCCATCCCCTGGTTACCTTCCACATGCAGGGATCAGACAAACAAGTCAGGTCAACGTTCGGGTCGGCCGCGCCCCGGGTGATGCCCGGAGGGCCAGAGTACTGACCTGACTCATTGTGGCCCTCAGGCGGCAGATCCACGGCTGAATGGTCAGTCGGGCAGATCCAGTGGCCCTCCCCTAGACTCAGGAGTCCAGGCGCTGACATGGCTGCTTTCATGTTTCCTAACAGACAGACCTCCAGGCGCGGCGCGGACAAAAGACACGGCGGGCTTCTGTGCTGACTGGCCGCCTCAGGGTCCCGAGACTATCGAAGAACTGCCCGCGACGAAGAGCTGGGCAATGGGGTCCCAGGGATGAGGGCCGAGAAGGGCCAACGTCTGGACACAAATCACAACATCAAGGATCTGGGTCTCTCCCGTCCCCACGTCCGGCTCCCCTGCCCTCTTCCGCTTCCCTTCCCCTGCTGGCGCTTGGACAAAATCCGACTGGGACACATCGGGGATGAATGAGAGCTGGCGGTTCTGGAGGACACATCGGGCGACGCACAGCGCTCCAGAACGCTCCGAGAGCGCTCCAGAAGACTCGTGAACGATTTACTCCGGCTCGCCCGACTCCTCGTTCCTCCTTCCCCAGCTGCCCCTGGGCACCTGGCCAGGGTCGTCCTCCTTGGGGTTGTGGTAGTTGCGGTAGAACGCCGGATTGTCCTTGCTGGCCTTGGCGTACGCCGCCTCGTCCTCGCGGCCGGAGGGTCCAATTGCCTTGAGCGGACGTTGCAGCAGGCGCAGGACTTGGCCGATGGCGATGCACAGAGACGGAGGGAAAAAGAGACTAGACCTCCAACGTATTGAAAAACGAATAAATTGTTTCGCTGTAGATTTCAGCCCCTGGGTGCTGCTTCCGGGTGAGAAAACGATCTGGTTCGAGAGCCTGTTCCCCAGGAGGATGTCGAGAGATCTGGGGGGACCAACACGACGTCGGAGTTCTGGAGAAGGAGGCAAGCTTCATGGGCCCCTCCTGGGCCACGTTGAAGCCGTCTTGGCCACTCCCGACGCCACTTCTGGTTGCAAAACACACTGTTGGGCTGTCTAGGGCTTCTATTGCCGTCTGTGGGTGCCTCATACATTACGTTCTTGCCTGGTTTCGCGATCTCTTGGCGCAACGCAAGCCGTGGTCAACTATGTCCCACTTACCAGCGCAAGCTGCTGGGTGTGTGTGTTGCCCGCACACAAGCATCTTACGCGCTTCCAGATGTAAGGTGAGCCTACAATTTCGGGTCGACGACCCCTCGTGAGAAACTGCGCGCGCTCACTCCCCGGGCCGCGGCCATGCGCAAAATGCAATGAGCCCGCACTCCTACTGCTACGATGGCTCATGAGTCGCCTTGGGTACCAGCTCCCGACGACATGTATCCCTGGTCCCAAGGCGTCTGGTGGGATCCCCCCTCCGAGGGTCAGCTGGAAACGCTGCTGCTGAGCCGCATCCACGGAACAACAGACATGGTGTTCGCACATGTGCTTAGCTGCAGGTGGTTGCGGTAATCCCTGGACTGCAGGTTTGCAAATAGGCCGTCTTGGGGTATTGTGAGGCGCTGTATGCCCTCTGACGCCGTCTGACGATTCTCTGGCTCCTTTGGATTGCCTTTGGAGCCTCTTGGGGCCCACTCGGGGGCCTGGTCTCTTTTCGGTCGTCTTCGGGAGTCTTGGGGCAACCTAGAGACCGTAGTGGCTCTCAGGGGCTGTATAGGCTCGCTATCGGCGCACTATTGCGCCGTCTGGGGGCGTCTCGGTCAGCTTGAGCCCTTCTGGGACTTCTCTTGGGCCGTTCTGGAATCCTCTTGTGTCCCGACTGTGCAGAACAGAACCGAGACGCACATCTAGGACGGCGCTACATCGAGGATGAGAACGACAATTCAGCAAGAACGTACGGAGGGGGGGCGCCCAAACACCCACAATACGGCCAAAAGTGTCCCAAGACGGCACTGGAATTCACTCTGCCTGACGTGCAACTTCGAAGACTGAAGGGTCCTTTTGCCAGTGTGTACAGCCTCGGCGTCTCCCAAACACAGGCTTCGAATTGGCAGCCGCACATGTACTTCATTCTGGGTTGCCGTAGGAATGTTGCACACTTTGAGCTGGTGTCACGTAGTCCAATGATTGTTGCTAGGGTCCATCTGTATAGTTGACAACAATTGAACCAGATGGTGACATACCGAGGACTGCGCGGGCGTGTAGGCACTGCACGTATTTGAAGGAGCCTCCCATTGATGCCACCTGATAACCTGCCTTCGTTTTGCTGCCCCAAGTAATGATGCCCTTCATGCTCTGGATACGACCGTGGGACCTCACGCCAGCTACACCAATTGATGAGTTCAGAAGTTCAGAGATGCCGGGATACAAAACCTTCGAGACTCGCACCATGGAACAGAAGGGTTCAGCCAGCGCCTATCGGCACGGTGTGTCACCAAAGAAGTGTCGAAGGCCCACCTTCCTGCATGTGCGCATAACGCTGCAACGAATGTCATGGATGGATAAATAGCTAAGAAGAATGATAACTTCGACGTGTTAGCCTAAAACGGCTCGTGCTAAAACGGCTCGCGTCAAATTTGGTGCGGTCTTTGACCGTCATGAGGCTATCTTGAGCCATCTTGATTCCCCAGGAGACCGTATTGGACTGCCGTGGAGGCCGAGTATGGCCTTCTCGGGGATGCGGGCGGCGCAACGGCCATCTTGGGGCAAGCTGAAGCGCTGTGGGGATCACTTTAGGCCGTTAACCAGGAAAGGAGCAGGACAAGCATCAAAGGGTCCCTAAATTCACATATCCCACCAACCCTCTGGGCGCAAGCGGTCTAGGGCGTCTTCGTTTCCGGGTCCTCCCTTTACCCTACTCGGAGAGGTTTACCTTTCCCCCCTCCCTGGGTCCGGACGGGAGAGGGGGGGGAACGCGAGGGGTTAAAGCCCTAAAGACGGCCCAAGATGGCCCCCCAAAGGCCCAAGATAAAGATAGCGCATGATGGCCTGCATGATGGCTGAAGATAACCGAACATCGTTCAAGATAGCCTCCGATATGCCTCCGACATACGCACCCAAGGCAGTTAGAGGTGCTCTCGGAGCCCTCCATATACCCCACCAAGATGCCAAAACCCATCCAAAACCATCGGGAAAACAATGTTTTTTCCTGCTCGCCTCTCCGCTTCCGATGGGCCTGTGGGGCCTCAAGATGACCCTCAGATGGCCCACGAGAGCCCCAATATGGCCCCACGAGGCCCCCAAGGGGGCCCCAAAAGCGCCCGGCCAAGAGCGCCCCAAGGTGGCCCCATGAGGCGATTTGTCAGCTACCCATGGGGGGCGCTGATGGCACCCTTCACCATGTTTGAACCATGGCCTCCAAGATAGCCCCAAGAGGGCGCCAAGACCTGGAGCCCCAAGGATGAACCCCGCGAAATGGTTGAGAAATCATGGGTTAAGAAATTCATGGTCTCGCGCCGGCTGGTTTCTGAAGTTGCATTAAGAGATGTCCAGGGTCGCGTGTGTAGGTGGTTCCTTAAGCCGCATGGCCAGCGCCGATGGCTTCTTAAGCCGCGTGTCTAGGACAAGAAATTTCGAGACTCTGGCTGCAAACTGCGTTTCTGAAGCATAGAGCGAGGTGTACTGTCTAATTCAGCTTGTGCCTTTCCCGCGGCTGTTTGGGCCTCTCCAGGGGATGTTCGGAATGTTTGTCCAGCCAGCCCTTGCCCGACGATTCACAATCACTATTATGGTGTTTTGGCCGACTCGGACCTCGTGCCAAAGGCTGGCGCTAGCACCACAAGGGAGAAAAATAATCGAATCCCCCCATCAGGACACTTACCTCTCAGAGGCCCTCCCCGATAGGGCCACTGGCCCAGCTGAAACGACGCTATCCCAATGCGCTGGGGCGAAGTCTGAAAGCAGCTGCTGGCAACGACCGCCACCTAGGCGGGTTAAAGACACCCTACCAGTTCCTGCGAGTCGAGTGGCCGCGGGCATGGAACGCACGCTCGGGCCTGAAGCGCCCCTACGAGACACGACGATGGTGTGGTGATGCCGTTGCCAGTCCATGCGGAGCTCGATCACGTACGACATCATCTCGCGCAGGAACACCCCGAAGATCTGGGCCTCCCGCTCGCTGCAGCACCGGATGCACTGGTAGCCAGTTTCTTCTGGCGCCGCTGCGCAGGACCGCTTGACCCTGCGACGGGAAGAGGAGGAGGAATAGGAGTCTCTAAAACTACGACGCCCGTTTGTTGATCCGAGATGTGTGGGTGTCTTGGAAATGGGACCCCAACAGTCGAATGGATTTTTCGCCGAAGGATTTTCCCATGGGCCACAGGGCCAAAGCTCAGGAACAACAAATACCGTCCTGATCCCTTCCAGACGCATCCTCCTCGATCCCTTTTCCTTATAAGCAGCTCCTCCCTGTCGCACCCCGAGACGTGTCCATAGGGCGGGCCAGGCGTTTCGCCTGAGACCTACTCATCATCTATGACCTTAAGCTTAAAATTTGAAGTTCGTAAACAAATCTGGCTCTCGCGGGCCGTGCACAGTCGTTTCAAAAGTTCGAAACAACAGTTTCATGGATAGAGGGCGGGCCGTTTTCAACATGTGACTATCGCCCAAGCGCCGCGCACATTCGTCATAAAAGTGTGCCAGAGATTCACGGATGGTGGGCGGCTCCATTATAAAATGTGTCTCTTGCATCAGCGCCGCGCGCATTCGACATAAAACTTTGCAAGACCTTCGCTCATGGAGGGCGGGCCGTGTTTAAACTATGACTCTCGCCCAAGCGCCGCGCACAGTCGTCATAAAAGCTTGCCAGAGTCTCACGAATGGTGGGCGGCTCCGTGTCAAAACGTGTCACTTGCCTTGCCGCCGCGCACTTTCGTGTTCCGATGGTCTACGTCCCAAGAGTGGTGTGCTGGTGTCAACGTTGCAAGCCAACGTTCTTGGGATGTCAGCATTGTTGAAATCCCAAGAACGGCTTCCTGTCACAATTCAGCACCATCAGGACGCAACCGTAACGTTGACTCCAGGCGCTGCAATCCCAGGACTGGTGCCTTGGCACGGCTCATGATTTTCGGACGGCTATCTTCTTAAGTGGGACTGCCCTCAGTGAGACAAGTCATTGCAGGGACCTGTGGAGAAGGAACCTGCAGGGACGGTGTATTGCAATATCGTTGATCAGACTTGGGTTTACATGTCCTCGTCCTCCTCCTCCTCCTCCTCCTCCTCCTCCTCCTCCTCCTCCTCCTCCCCCTCTTTCGTCATCGTTCTTCCTCACACGTGACGGGCGCCTGGGTGAGCATGATGGTCCAGCTGTTGTAGAAGTCCAGAAGTTGAAATCCTGGCGTCTTCAAGTCGATGAGGAACCTCGAGGCCAATTAAAGAGCGCAACGCGAGAAGGAAGGATCGCGTATGAGGAGGAAGCGGAGCAAGAGGACGACAAGCAAGGGGACGTATATGAATCGTAAACATGCACGTCTGGAGCGTGGCGTGAGGTAGCGAGGTTCTCCCCGACGTTTCGATGGGCCTCCAGTAAGAGAAACAAACGTGCAGGAGTAGGAAATGACGAGACGCCCATCTGCAAGCCTGAGTGGATCCTGCATCCAGCACTGGTGAGAGTCAGCAGCACAAGACTCTGAAACCTACGACAAAAACTCCGGAGCCCTTGTCTTTTAGCCCCTTGCTTTCATGCTAAGGAATGGTGGTGTGGAGGACGAGGAACAGGATGATGTGGAGGACAAGTGCAACGGAAGAAAGAGAGGAAAGAGCGAGGGACGTGACGACGAGAAAGCTGGCTCGTCCGACCAGCCGCGTGTTTTCACGTAGCATGGGAAGCTGCGCGTCCCGAACAGCGCGCCCGTCTGCCAGTCGTACTGAGAAGAGCAGGACAGCTGGATATGCACACGAACGAGATCCGCGCGGATTTGTCGGGTCGGGGCTGGAACCACCTCGCTACACCCTTTCCCCAAGCGTGTTTCGCTCGTCGGCGAGCGCCGCCGGAGATACCACCAGAGGTGGCGGGGAGGGGGCGCTGTCCTCAAACATCCGCGCGGACCTCCGAAAGTCTACAGCCGACACGCATGATGGGGATGCAGGCCCCTCGGGACGCCCGAGTGGAGGCTCCTCTGAGCCACGGGTTTGCTGAGCATGGGCCGAAGAGGCAAGGATGCATGGGGCACCCCTGAGACAATGAGACGTCGTTGCCGTACGTGGGACGGCCTCGGGTTGCGCACAGACAGCCCCTCGGGTAGTCTCGGCTGGTCTCAACAGCCCGCGGCGCCGGTGTGTTGAGACCGTCCCAGACTACTTGAAGGGCCTGTTGAAGCCAGCCGGGACAACCTGGGGGGGGGGGCCAAAGGCATCGATACCGCTTGCCAAAGGTCGCCTCCTTCCTGGGGCGCGTTCTTACCAGAACTTCGAGGAACATCCAGCCGTGGCGACGAGAGCTCTCCAGGATGAGCATCGGTATCAGTACCATTTCCGCCCCTGCGCCCTAGACTACTCGGGGGGCTTGCTGAGGCCAGCCATGACTACCTGGGGTGGCTGCCTGTGCGCAGACCGTAGACTTACAAGCCGTGCGCATTGGCTGTCTGCTCGGGCGTTGCTCAACGGGGGGGCGATAGATGGGGAGCGGCGGAGAAACGTGCACAGCTCGTGCCCCTTTGGGACCCCAAGAAGGCCCTGGAGGTACCTTCAGGGCAAAAGAGGCACAAACAGAGCACCCATTTGCCATTTTCTTAAGGCCACAAGGGCAGAAACACACACACACACAAATCCCAGGATTCCCAATATTTTCTCGTCTTCTCTTGGCTTTCGCCCAACCCCCACCCCCCCACCCCCACCCTCCCCCACTTCCCATATTTTCCTATATTTTCCGGGGGATATACGATCACTTGTGTCTGTGTGTTTTTTTCCCTCCCGACACTTGTCGCCCCCCCAACGCCGGACCACTGCCTGCTCTTCGAGATCCGGAGTGCGTCGAGCACCGAGGCGCCCCGTCTGTCGACTCTGGCGGGCAGTGCCCGCAGTGCCAGCGGGCCTCCAGCACAGTTCGGCGCCGGGCCGAAG